TTTTTTTTTTTTTTTTTTTTTTTTTTTGGCATTTCAAAGGTGTAATTTTGATAGATTTTCTTGAATGACACAGGGAGATCATAGGGGCTTATCATGAAGAAGTTTTAAGAAAATTGAAAACTACATTGATGAGAAAAAGTTCAGAAAAGTTGCACTGAGGAATTGTTTTTTCCCGTCATGACAATACACCACTTCATTCTTTGAGGGTGATACCAGCTGTCCTATAAGAATTTCTTTGGGCAACCTTTCCCTAGCCATCCTACAGTCCTCATATTTCCCCTTCAGACTTCTTTTTGTTCCACAAACTCAAATAACATTGACAAAGCATATGATTTGAGCCCCTTGAGGGTGCCCCAACTGCCATTTGGATATGGTATAAATGCAGAGCACAGAATTCTTTGGGAAAGGGTTAGAGAAATGGAAACACTGCCTTCAAAATGTACAGACCCCGATGGAGGATGTGCTGAGAGGCAAGAGCTTCACATCTTGATATTTTTGCTTAATGTTGCTTTGATTTTGTAGCAGAACTTTTGGACTTATCTTCATGTGTTTCATTAAAGAGAGATGTGTAGAATTAGGTACAGGCAGGTTTGTAGGGTTAGTGCTGTGCTAAATTTGGGACATGTCTAGTGTGAGTTAGCTTTGAGACATCTAAGTGGTGATGGATTTCTAGAAAATGGTGGCTTTGTAAATCTAAAAATCAAGTAGAAGGTTTAGTTGTAGGCAGCTGTTATGATGATGTTTCTACATGGGAGAAGTTGTGTTGATACACTGGGAATTAATGAGTCATCTCCTCTAGATGACTGCTCATCTGCCTCTTCTCTTTCCTGTCCAGTGTTTATCAGCTAGTTGTCAAGGAGGAGCGACTTCAGAAGTCACGGAGGGCAGCAGACATCATCGAGTGCTTCTCAGTGCCTGTGAGCTATAGGAATGCTTCCAACCTGGATTCCCTACACTATTTTGCTGCTGAATTGAAGCCTGCCAACCTGCCTGTTACCCAACCATTTACAGTTGGTGACAACAAGACATACAATGGCTACTGGAACCCTCCACTCTCCCCATTGAAAAGCTACAGTATCTATTTCCAGGCACTCAGCAAAGCAAATGGAGTAAGTATGGCAACATTAAGGGCTTCTTTGCCGGGCTTTTAATTTTTCATTCTCTACTTTAGAGTAGAGATTAACAAATTGAGACTAGTGGGTCAAATCTAATTCCATGTCTGTGGTTGTAAATAAACATTTCTTGGAACATAGCCACTTCTGTTCATTTACATGTTGTCTATGGCTGCTTTCATGCTACAACAATAGAATTGAGATGTTATGAAAGAGACCTTATGGCCCACAAAACCCAAATTATTTACTATATGGCCCTTCATATGAGGGTGAGTCAATAATTATCTGCACTCTGCCTGTAGACTGTATTTTACTCAACTTTTAGAAAAGACAAATACATCATTTCCCCACATAACCTCCTTGCATTTCAATACACTTTGACATTCCCTTATTTAAAAATGTTCTAGGCTGAGCTGTGAGCCACAAACACATCACTGTCTTCTCTTCTTCATCAGAGGTGAATCTTCATCCTTGAAGTACTGCTTTCAGGGGACCAAAGATTTGAAAGTTCAGTGAGCAAGATCGGGAATAGAGGGAGAATGCTTTCACACCTCAAAATGAAGTTTTTGCTGAGTGTCAACAGTTTGGACACAGGCGTGGGGATGAACATTGTCATGTGACATCACAGTGCTCTTGGATAGCAGTTCTCTGCATTTAATCCAAGATTTAGGTTTCAGCTTTAATGAGTATCTCACTGTAACAAGCACTATTAATTGTTGAACCCTTTTCCTGAATGTTCCAATGCTGGTCTTTGAGAATTCCTGAAAATTGTAACCATCATTTTTCCACCTGAAGGTTGACTGTTTTTTGTTTTGTTTTGTTTTGTTTTTTATTGTTGTTTTAGTTTTTATTGTGAATTGAGTGATAGTTTACATGGGAGAACATCGTATTTCATTTCCCTGCAATGCTTACAATCCCCACCATGTATCATCTTTCAACAGTATTTGCTTGTATTCCCTCTGGGCTATTTTTCAGATGCACACCAAAACACTCAGAAATATATAATCATTCAAAAGTCCAAAGGGCACACCCTGCAAGCCTGCCCCCTGGATGCCAGCACACAGCCCCTTTGCCTCCATGAGCCTAGAGTCCATGTCGCCATGTCATCATCTCTGCCTCCATCTCAGGTATCACTGCTTCTCTGGATAGGGTCCCACACTCCACTTCCACTCTTCTACCTTGATATTCCTAGAGTCTTCCATTCCTGAACTTTAAGAACAACCATTCCCCTTTTTTTGCTTCAAAACTTCTACCTTTAAGGTTGTGGCAATGGCAATTAGTCATGATAACAGTTACTCACTATTGAATCTTAAGAATCTTATCCCCATCTCCTTTAATCAGACCCATCTAGACAAGACGAAAACTATTCAGTGGGAATTTTACCTTCCCCGCACACTCTTAAACTAAACTCCCTCTTGAAAACTTGTAAGCCA